TATGAAGACAGGCTGAGAGAGCTGGGGTTGTTCAGCCTGGAGAAGGGAAGGCTCCGGGGAGACCTTATAGCGGCCTTTCAATACCTGAAGGGAGCCTACAGGAGAGCTGGGGAGGGACTCTTTGTCAGGAAGTGTAGTGACAGGACAAGGGGTAATGGTTTTAAACTGGAAGAGGGGAGATTTAGATTAGATACCAGAAATTCTTTCTTGTGAGGGTGGTGAGACCCTGGAACAGGTTGCCCAGAGAAGCTGTGGAGGGGTTCAAGGCCAGGCTGGATGGGGCTTGGAGCAACCTGGTCTGGTGGGAGGTGTCCCTGCCCGTGGCAGGGGGTTGGAACTGGATGATCTTTAAGGTCCCTTCCAACCCAAACCATTCTATGATTTGATGAACAATGTCTGGTAGCCCACTTCTAGAGTTAACAGATTAAAAAGTATGTTTTCACTTTATAAAAAGGTGGGCAATTTGTGCTCATTATTCCAGTTTCAACGGCGTTTTGATTCTTTTTCCCCCCCGGTTTTAAGGCCCAAAGTCCCTCCCAGCCCAATCCATATCAAAAGTGACTTGGACTGGAAGAAGACGTGGTGCTAAGTCGCTCAAGCTGAGTGGAATAGCGTGTGGCTTCCGTCCCCTTCCAGCCCGGGACTTCCTCCTGCGCTCCACAAACACGGGCTGTTCTCCAGCACAACAGAGACATATTGTTCTTGCTTCCTGTAAGGTGATGTCACCGCGGAGCTGAATGGATTCAGCGTTTTGTGGAAAAAAAACGGCATTATTTAGAAAAAAACACAGATTGCTCTTCAGACCCGAGCAAAGAAACAATAACCTACTGTATCTGGCAGATTAGCAAATATTAACTTTTCTCTGTCAATTAGCTTTTAGTTTGCTCCTCGTCTTCCCACCCCGTTTGCCCGTTCCTTATCAGCAGAAGCAAATGCCAGGCATATCTCGTCGAAAGAAGGGGACTGCTCAAGGCAAAAGCAAACAGAGCTCCCAAAGGTAGTGCCGTGACTAATTTTTCTAATAATTATTCCCGAATGGATCCTCTGTCTCCAGGAGTCAAGGGAAAACAATGGGATACAGGAGCGGGCTGCCTGCCAACGACTTGATGAGCCTGAACGAGATCAATTTTAACGGGACGGACGCATTGATGTGACATATAAACGTAACTATAAATATGTAGAGCACTGATTTCCCTCTTTTTCTCCCAGATCTGTTTAACACAAACACCTGCTAAACCAAATTGAATAAATAAAAAAGACATTGAGGTGCTGGAGCGGGTCCAGAGAAGGGCGACAAAGATGGTGAGGGGTCTGGAGCACAAGTCTTATGAGGAGAGGCTGAGGGAACTGGGGTTATTCAGCCTGGAGAAGAGGAGGCTGAGGGGAGACCTTATTGCTCTCTACAACTCCCTGAAAGGAGGGTGTAGAGAGGTGGGGGTCGGTCTCTTTTCTCAAGTCACAGGCGACAGGACGAGAGGAAATGGCCTCAAGTTACGCCAGGGGAGGTTCAGGCTGGATATTAGGAAAAATTTTTTCACTGAAAGGGTTATCAGGCATTGGAATGGGCTGCCCAGGGAGGTGGTTGAGGCACCATCCCTGGAGGTGTTCAAAAGACGGGTTGATGTAGTGCTGGGAGGTCTGGTTTAGTGATGGTGATGCTTCTTGTTTGTTGTGCGGGTGTCTATTTTTGTCAGTTAGGTTGAGGGTTGGACAAGATGATCTTTAAGGTCCCTTCCAACCTAGAAGATTCTGTGATTCTGTCATTCTGTGAAATCATCCCATTTCACTGTGCTGCTGTTCAAAACCAGACATGATTCTGTCATTCTGTCATTCTGTGATTCTATGAAATCATCCCATTTCACAGTGCTTCTGTTCAAAACCAGACGGCAGAACTCTCAAAGCCCTTTCCCTTTATAAATCCGCTTCGAGTTCCTGGGAGCTTCACTCCGGGCCTGCAAACGATCTGGAAGTTTGTGGGATGTTCCTGTGATTTGGGATGTCAGAGGATGCTGTGTCCCCCCCCCACGCCGGGTGGCCGCGACTCACTGGGAGGCGCTCCTCACTCCCACCCCTTTCCCTTCCCACCGAGGGACATCTCGCTTCGTCACCCAACCTTCGAGGGCTCTGGACGGGCAAATTCCAAGCGAATGGAAGTAGCCGAGGTCATTTAATCACATCACGGGGGGCAGTTTTCCAGCCGGGAAACTCCCAGGCCGGGACCCCCGCTCCCGGGCCGGAGGGGGGAGCAGGCGGGCGGAGCGCCGAGGGGGCGTGGCCATTCCAGTCCGGGGGGCGTGGCCATTCCCGCCTCAGGGGGCGTGGCCAGGTGTTGGCTCCGCCCCCCTCCCGCCGCCGCCGCCGCTCGGCCGAGGCGGGGGCGCCGGAGAGCGCTCGGTCCCACAAGTGGTTCCTCCCCGCGGCCGAGTGATTTCTCCTGGGAAGAGCCGAGCGGCCGGAGGTTCCCCGGGAGCGGCGGGGAAGAAGGAAGGGGACCGGACTGCCCCGGAGGGTTGCCTGGCTTCGCCGGGTTGTCCCTACGGGTGCGGGGGTAGAAGGGAGCGGCGCGCCATGCTGCCGGCGGCAGACACCGAAGGAGGCTGTGCTCGTCTGCCCGCCTCCGGCAGCCTCCGCTAGAGCCCCGGAGGGGGGGAACCCCTCTCCTCTCACCCCTCCAGCAGCTCGGCGGGACCGTACCGGGGGTGGCCGGTGCAGCATGGCATCCGCCTAACCCCAACCAGCGCGACAGAGCCCCGCGGCGGCAGCGGCTGCCCCCACGCCGGGATGAGTGACAGCGGCGAGGGGATCGTCAGCTTGTCGGTGCCCGGCCCCGCCGGCGAGGAGACGCCGGGCAGGCGGGCGCAAGGAGCCGAAACCGGTGCCCGCAGCCTCCTCTCCGACTTGGCCGGGCCGCCGGCCGGTCCCCTGTGGGCTGAAGACGGAGCCGCCGCCGCCGCCGGTGTTTGCCCGGGCATCGCATCGCGGGCCAAGGGTGGCGGCCGTCGAACGGCAGTCACCTACGTGATCAACGAGGCGAGCCAGGGGCCGCTGCTGGCGGCGGAGAGCGGCGCCCTGCAGAGCCTGCGGGAGGCGTGCGAGGTGGTGGGGGCCGCCTTGGAGACCCTCCACTTCGGCAAGCTGGACTTCGGCGAGACGGCGGTGCTGGACCGCTTCTACAACGCAGGTGAGAGCCCGGCCACGGAGGCTACCGGGAGCCCGGCTTCGTCCCTTCCTCGCCTCCCGTGGCCGCCCCGGGAGGGAGCAGGCGCGGCTTTCCCCCCCC